AAATAACTTGAATAAACTGAAGAAATAACTGTTAATAGACATTTCCAATTTTCAAATTACCTCCCTTGGCATTGTCAAGTGGAAATGAAATTTTGAGTAATTGTCTCCTATTCATGTGATGTACACTTAATTTGAGTGGCAGACAGTGTTGAAAGGGTTTTTTACCTCTTGCCCAGTATGTAATCTTCACTTTGGTCAACATCTTGACAGAAATATTTCTTTAAAGCAGACATAAGATATGAGTCAATATTCCATTTTACATGAATATGTTGCCATATTTAAGAGGAAAATGAAGTTGGAGGCATGATCTGGCTTCAAAAAAACTAAAGATCTGTCAGAATTTAAAATTCTGATGAGAAAGTATGTTTTGAAAATGTTAAAGACAAATTCTGAATGGTGTTTCATGTCTTCATTTGAATCTGAAAAGTGTCAGAATTTTTTAACTTCATACAGGGTTGGATTGTAATTTATTTAAAAATGCATCATTTATGTAAATGTGTACTACTTGGTCATTTTAAAAGATACACTGTTTTCGGATATATCATTTGTTCGTGATATCATTTTCTAGACATCTGATGGGTTTTAAAGGAATTTCAAGACAAAAATATTGGTGTATAAGGTAGCAGTACACAGTTTCTTGGTGTGGCCATGGGTGATTTTTTTGTACAATAGAGAACATCTGTGTAAATGCATGTAGAAAAAATGAAAAGAAAAAGGGGGGGGGCAAAATTTGGTATATTCATGATGATGTTGGATATTGGGGCTTTACATAAAAAAAAAAAAAAAAAAAAATGTACCTAGTTTGAGATTACAATTTTGGCCATTATACGAAAGTGTACCTATACAGAAAAAGCTAGCTTTACTGGCAGCCAAATTCTGATGTCTGGACACGAGGTAATGTTGTGAAAAATTTCCGACTTACATTTTCCTGAAACATAAATCATTCTGCTCTCAGGTATGTAGTGATAAATTGTTGATATGTGTCATACTTCAAATTTCTGTCTGACTTTGTGAGATTTTCAGTCAAAAATCACAATATTTTGCTATTTTCAGTGTTTTTTAATGTGGTAACCATGGTTTTCAGAAAATGCTCTATTGTGTATTAGAACTGCATGTGGTGTGTAGTTTATGAAAATATATACTTTTATATGTCTGATTTGCACGGTTAATCTACTGTGTGTAATTATCTGGAATGTGTCCCTTATTTTTCAGAAATTGGCCATTTAACTGTTTACTGCTACCCGAGGTGATGCCAATATGGCAGCTTAACTTTCTTTTCCGCGCGATGCATTGTGGGTGTCATATATCTTTATTTTTTTTCTTTTTCGCAAATTTTCAACCCGTTTAATACTGTTGAAAACTTTTGAAAATACTGAAATATGTAGTTGAAAATAAGAATGAAACTAAAATAAGAATGATTTAGAGTAGCATAAAATTTTTGACGGAAACAGCCGGGGTGCTTTTTGCTGCTGGACCCTGACAGAAGACAGCAGGAGAAAGAAGACGGCGGGTAATTTACGTAGGTAAGTATCAATATTTATAAGCTAAATTTAAAGTCAATACTTATACTGAACTAGCATTTGCATTTTTTGCAACAATTCATTTGAAATAAGCCATCGCATGTATTGAATTTTCAACACAGCCCAAAGACTAAGCTTAGACTCGACGGCGACGCGCAAGCTGACAAGATGGGCACTGCCGCCATGACACTTTTTTTCAAAATATTTTCCCAAGACTTTTCCTATGAAGCAGTATGCATTTTTTAAAATGTTATATAAGCATCTAGCATATTTTTTGCTGCTTCCGTAAAGTATTTCAGTATTTTGAAGTTGATGCAGTCACTTCTGTCAGTGGCCCAACAGATCGGAAATTAAACAGAAAAAAACTTCATGACACTTTTTTTCAAAATATTTTCAAGACTTTTCCTTTGAAGCAGTATGCATTTGAAAAATGTTATGTAAGCATCTATCACATTTTTGTTGCTTCCTTTAAGTATTTCAGTATTTTGAAGTGGATTTATTTTTGAATGATTGTTTCATAATGATCGGAAATTGACCTTTCCCCAATGCTAGCTTAAGCCCCGCCCCATTACGCCCACTTCATCTCCAAGCGTGACAGCCATCGGTCGCCTGTCATACACGCTGTTTGTAAACATGGCGGATGACAGTAGTCTGCGCGCTGTATCACTAAACGATCTACCGTCAGATATCTCAGAAAATTACATCAAAGATGTAGAAATGTCGCTGAAATCTCGACAGCAGGGGTTTAAATACTTCAGTGAAGGCTATTTTCACCAAGTGAAAATGTTTCAGATGAACTCAAATACCGTTCAAATATCGGCAAAATGTCACAGGAGCCAAAGGAAAAATGAGCTCCCTCATCGAATCAACATAGACATATCTCCAAAAGACGGCAAGATAGAGATGACGCACTGTTCGTGTACAGCAGGGTATGTATAATTGTTTCCAATTTGAAAATATAATATACGTAAATACATCTGTAGTTTCATCGTTTGTACATAAAATAGTCATCATCACAGTGAGCTACAAGTTGTACAACAGAATCGGTTCAGCTCATCTTCCATGATATTTAGGGGTTAGTAGGTTGTGTTGCCTTACGGACAAAATGCAGTACATTGCGTCTTTAATCCCCAGGTTACAAAATTAAACCCTCCCATCACTGTACGACTGCATATGGTAACAAACAACTGACACGTGTGTACTGTATACATCGATTCACAGGTGACTGAGGTGTGAAAACCATGTGTCCCTCCCCCTCTCTGAACGCTGGGATGGGTCGGACCGACTTATTGTCTGGCTTCACATATGACACTAGCACACGTGTGTGTGTTCTAATGTAAACAAACTGCCATATTCTCATATATTGAATCAGCGTATTTATTAAAAGAATTATATATTCTTAAAAGTTAAATAGAATGCACTCGATTCTATATGATTGAATATAAAATTTTACACAAATTATTGTGTAGTGCCAGTGGTGTATATTCCCCAATGCTTTTATTATTGGGCATTAATATTTTGTTATTTATGCACCCCAATGTATGTTACACATCGATGACGATAAATGTAAAAAATTGAACAATAATCTATAAATATACAGTGCTGTGAGTGAGGGGTTGCTCAATTTCTAAATTTCTTCCTTTGGCAACATTATTATAAGACTCCTTTATATGCGCCTATGAAAGATAAGGCTATTCTACCTGAGGTGTGACAAAATGCCGCATTTTGTCACTCCCGAGGGTAGAATAGCCCTATCTTTCATAGATGCATATGAAGGAGTATTTTTCTCTCATACGATTAACACAGAAATGTCAAAAACGTAAAACACGTGCATTGATGTCCTCTTTATTCTACCAATTTTTATGTTGATCTTATTGAAAAATTAACCGCAGGAATAGATTCAGCGTACCCACAAATGGCAAACATAGTTTGCGCATGAAATTAAATATTGATGTATTTAATGGAGGATAAAGTTAATTTCATCGAGGTTTTATAGTCTAAGTGTTCCCTTACGCCCTAGGAATGATACAAAAAGTTGACGTCATTGTAGGTAAAGTCAATGGGATTTATGACGTCATAATAGCGCATGGGACTAGTCCATCAAATACATTATTATGACGTCATACTCATGAAAGACAAGAAAATCTTACATGGGTTTACTTCATCGGACAAATCATTATTATATGGCATGATATGAGAGAAAATTCTTTATAACATTTTTGTATATATATTCTTAATATATATGTTCATATTGCTATTCAAAGTAAAATTTTCAAATTTTATTCAAGGTCCAGTGGTTGTTGTTCACATGTGGTTGGGCTGTTGCAATCTCTTCGACAATTGCAGTTAATGGGTTTAACAGATATCCCTAGCGAGTTGACCTGCACAAGTCTTCCACAACAATGGAATGTTCCAAGAGGTGACAAAATTGAACCTGAAGCTGTTCCAAAGTTGAGGGTCATCAAGCCAAAAGAAGTTCGAAAAAGAAAGACTACAGACAACAGTTTGACTGATAACAGGTAGTAATTGAGTTTATTTTAATACATTAATTTATTTCAAAGCAGTTTGAATAAATAATATATATGATATGGTCCTTAGAAATCAATTCTTACAAATGAATATTCCAATCCATAAATTGATGTAATCTATAAATATCCGTTTTTTTTTTTTTTTTTTGACCATTTATTGACACCATATATAAATCTATAATTGAGTGTGATAAAATATCCCTATGTATTGTACAATATTAATTATATACATGTACTTAAATTAAGATGTCCTTCATATATGTACAATACATTTACAACATATCTATATACCAGTATAGTATATTGTACTGTATATACATGTACATATGTATTGGCAGCATTTAAATATCCTTAATTATGTACAAATGTAGGATACATGTACACATATCACATGGACTTCATACATGTTTAATTATTTTGCAACAACAATTGACATACATGTAGCAAATTCAGTATTCCAAAAACATTTCTTTGCAAATTGAATTGGGACAACCTGAAAACCATTTAACATGCATATTGTGCACTAATTAATCTATTATTTTACTTAAATGTACATGTGTATGCATTTTTGTTCTAAATTACAGGAAAATTCATGTAGCAGATTCCGATCTTCAGCACTTGAAGTCCTTGAAAAATCTACCAATCAGCTATTTGATATCAACTCCAAAGAAAACTTCAAATACATATTTTGGTACTACAAAACTTGGCCGTGGATTTTATGTAAGGAAACCCTAAAATTAGTTCAATTACATTTTTATGTACTATGCATTAGACTTTAATTATCACAAAACAATAATGCTGTACAAATAACTAGGTTACCAATTTTTCTTGTATAATGAAATGCCTGGTGCACAAATTACTGAATACATGTATGTAGACCTCACGTTCAATCTTTTGCTGGTTTGTCCTGAATGCATGGAGCGAAAAAGTTGGTAAGCATCGCACATACATATCAAATTTGAGTAGATAGGGGAAACAAAGTTAGTGGTAACCTATTTGCCAAAATTTCGAATTTTTTTATCCTTGCGATTGCTCGTTCAACATGCACTCTATGAGTTGCTATTTCCTCGGTCAGTAATGCATCTGCTTGACTCATTTGAGTACCCTGACGAGCAAATGGAGGAATGTTTAATTTCAAACCACACTCTGCGAGTTCCTTTTCAACATTGAAACCTTTGTCAGCCATAACACTATTTCCATTTTGTAAATACCCTTCATCCACTAGATCTTTCAAAAGGTTTTTACATTTTGACTTGATAAAAATTTCCTTGTCGGATATTCCGCCAGAGAATAGCACAGATGCATAAATTATTGATCCTCTGGGGTCACAGGCAACCAGTCCCTTCAAAGTATTAGTGGATTTGTAATCTGAATAAGTTTGTGATTGAACTTTCAGGGAAGAAGGCTTGTAGATTTTAATCTCTGTGCAGTCAAAAATGGCAAACGTTGAAGGAAACTCTTCGGCAAATTTTGCTGGCATGTTTTCTTTTATCACATCCCTGTGGGGCCAGATAGACAATTCACAAAACCTTAAATACATGTAATTTATCCAGGTGTTGAATATGATCGATGTAGTTTGTTCTCTTATACCATAACGGAAAGCCAAGTCAATATAACCAAAGTCGTGCCTTAATTTCATCACAGTTAAAAAAAGCTGGTTCATCAAATCTAGCTCCATTACGACAGTTTTTCTGTTTGTCAGAATTTCAAATGGTATCTCCTCTTTATCTGGTACCAAGAAAGTGTACACATTCAGGAACTGATTTGGTGTAAAGCCAGTGTAATATAAGAATTGTTTATCATCCTCAATTATGTCATGCACACAAAAGTTACTTTTTGTTTTTTTGGTTTGAACATTTGCATCACAAGTTTGTTTTACTTTTGATTGATATACCTGGTCACAATGTTTAGACAGCACTGATACATGTTCCTTGAGATTGTCTCTTTCTTGCTTCACTTTTGTCAGCTCATTGTGGATTGATCTATTTTCTATCGTTAATTTCATCAAGGCCATTGGATCACACCCTGAAAAATATGAATTGAAAAATTGTTAATGTCTACCATGTCTACATACACAATATTTATTGTTTTTTTTCTCGTAAATTTATACACAGTACATGTATACTATAGTTTTTTCTCTTTACAGGCATCGTTTTATGAACCAGATATAAAGCCTCAAGTTGGATCAGACTGTGGAAATTTGTCATTCCCGAATGAGTCTCAAAGCGCTAAATTAACAGAAAGCTATGTGTACGCTTCGCAAATAACAGGTGACTTGAAAACAACTCTCGAAAAATCTAGAGAAATTGAAGAAAATACCAGAGATCAGAGCAACAGTTTTAGATGGCATGAGGAAAGGAAATATAGGTTAACCGCATGACGTTTTCATGAAGTCTGTAAACGACAAAGTTTCAGTGATAAATATCTAGAGGAACTTATTAATCCTAAACAAATTAATGTAAGTGCCACTTCATATGGACGAAACAGTGAAAAGAAAGCAAGACAGACATACATAAGAGAAAACGGTAATCATGTACATGATTGTGGATTAGTTGTAAATCCTGCCTTTCCTTTCATTGCTGCAACCCCAGATGGCAAAGTATGTGGAAATGGTGAATGTGGGATTTTGGAAATAAAGTGTCCTTTCAGTGCAAGAGACATGCGTATTTCAGAGACATCTAACTTGGAAAACTTCTGTCTAGATGTTACTGAAAATGGACACATGTTAAAAAAACATCAATACTACTTTCAAATTCAAGGGCAATTATTAGTAACAGGTGCCCCTTTTTGTGACTTTGTTGTTTTTACAAAAAAAGATCTACACATAGAAAGGATATATCCAGATAGCGTCTTCATGAAAGAATTGTTAGATAAACTATCTGAAGTGTACTTTGGTAAATTACATCCATACATAAATAGCAATAGAAAACGTACATAAATGTTCTGTCTGAGTGGCAATTGACTTCTTCTCACTGTAAGAAACATGATCAGGTGCATCAGGAGACATTAAATCAGTGTTGCTGTCTAGATCTGTGCAGACATTTTCTTTGTTGACAGAATTTTCTTCATTCACTGTTACAAGTGTTCTGAAAATAAAAAGCAAAGAGATCTAGAGTTAACATGTACATGTATGTAAATACATGTATTTGCTGTCTTAAATTGTTTTTAAATAATGTACATGTATCAAGACTTTTCATGTGCATGCGTGTACGTGTCAATCATACGACATGTGTAACTTGATTTAAATTAACTTTAATTAGTCATGATAATATTTAAGGGCAGCATATGCATACTATATTATACTAGATATAGTCAGAAATTGTTAATTTTCAATTTATTATAGTCCATAGATTTCAACTGAAAACAAATGTTTTATTATAAATGTGTACATGTACTTGTTCAACAAAATTATATTTATCATTGGTGTTTCCATCCTGATAACAAATGAATCATAATTAAATATTGATAATATTACATGTAGAAATAAATTATTATTATACCTTGATGGAGTTGTGAATTCAAGTTTTCTTCTTTTGGGGGGTAGTCTGGTTGGTTTTGGGGTGTCAGTTGGGCCACAAGTATGTGGCACTGGGTCAGGATGAAGAAATGTTGGACCTTTTCCACCAACAAAATGCTGCAACATAAATAGTGGTAATTATCCACTGCTGATCAGAGAGTATATGTAGCACTGCTGATCAGAGAGTATATGTAGCACTGCTGATCAGAGAGTATATGTAGACACAATGACATGCATATTACATGGGTATACAGTGTAAGAAATAAAAATTCCAGGATTGAAATGTTTATTTTCAATTCCATTATTTTTAGTGTAAGCATTAGCAAAGTAATAAGTAAAAACATTGATCTCTGCATTACTTTAGGAGAAAATGCCTCCCGACCAGGCACAGATGGAACGGACTATAAGTAAGAAAATTAAGATGATCCAGTTGTCAATAATAAGTCACAGATCATTATCTGCTACTGCAATACAGTACACTACATACCATGGAAATAATAAATTATGATTTATCGGCGATTATATCCTAGAATCTATACATCTTTAAAATAATACTTAACTATCTAATTATCTTACTTATCTAAGTATGTTTAACAACAATTAAACATTCTTAGCCATATATAGGCCCGTCGGAAGGGGGGGGGGGGGGGGGTGTATTTTCATCCCAGCATACTATTACTACATAGGCCTATGTCAGCCCACCCCCAATATGGATTTGCTTCCGACAGGCTAGTCTCGGTTGAGACACGATGATATGGATGCACCCAGAAGCCGCAAATGTTGGCAAATTTTGTTAAAACAGGTGATATCGATGTACCTTGTGTTCCCACAGGTTTTATGAAGGCCTGAACCGAGACTTGGTGGGGCTATGAAAAGACCGATTATAAAATACCACTAAGTCTCAACCGAGACTACCGACGGGCCTGACATATATTTGTATCTTAAAATTTAGTTTGGAAAACATACCTTTGAACAAACAAATGTGTTTTTATTAATCCAGTCGACATTAAGCTGTGAATGGGGACGGTTGCATAACTTGATCCACCGCATGCATTTCTCCAGGTTCGTTTTCGGCTTCGGAAAAACATGAAAAGAAATGCCTTCTACCCTCTCGCTGTATCTGTCGTGGCTGTTACACACACCGTATGCACACCTTTTTACCATTATGCATTATAGGTTTTGAATTTACAACCAATTATGGCAATATACACGGTCTGCACATATGTCATCGTATGCGTGATTACAATGTCAGAAAACGTGTGACAGGCCCTTGGCAACAAGCCAACATAACAACAACATAGCTGTCCCACACAGTATTGCTTCAATTTTTATCATTCGTCAATTTAATTTGTGGGCGGAGTTTGGGGAAAGGTCAATTAAACAGAAGAAAACTTACCCGTAATATTGTACTGTACTACTTACGCTACTGTGAATAGATCTAGGAATCTGTGTAATATATCGATTTTACTTTAAAATATCGGTCACTGTCTGTGCTATTGTAGATCTAGCTCTTCCAAATTTCTGATCAGAGATAATTTATAAGTACCCCAGGGCCAAAATTTAAATTAGGATCAGTTAGGCAGCTACTGTTTGTAACAGGCATGGTTTCAATTACATGATGTAATTAATTGAATTACAATTACATTATGAAAATGGCATTGCCATGACAGGTATTTTCAAAATAATTAAATTACACATTACTTTTCAAGTCAAAGTGATTTTTGAAATACAAACGTCAAAATAAATTATTATACTGCACAGATTTATCACACAGATTTAACTTTATCAGGGCTCTCGATCTGCCAGATTTGGAGCAGAGATAATTCTATCATATTTCAAATCAATCAGCATGATGCGAAAACTCCAATACTGAGAATAGTAATATCATAAAGACTTTTACTTTTAATTCTCCAGATCTAGATATGTTCATGTCACGATGTACTTAAAATGTAATTGAAGAGTAATTGGCCATTACAGCCATTTTCTTAGACAATTAATTACATTACCATTACATGTTATTGAAGTTGTCTTCAATTACACATTACATTCAATTACCTGATCAATTGTAATGCATTATTTATAAATTTGAACCATGTAAATTATGCTTCTTTTTAAGTTTATCAATTATATAACTGAAACAGGATCCAAGTGCAAAACCCTCCTCACTGGACTCAAAACTGGGTAATTCAGAACGCAAAGCAAAGCCCCTCAATTCATATTCAATGCCAGGTACATTTCCTTTGTATGCTTCATATACCGGGTAATATAATTAAGGAATTCACAGTCTTGTTATCATTTTACGGACGATTGAGTTGGGAAAGTTGCTCAATACATGACTGTTAAATTAATAATGACAATGACACATTATACTTTGTACCGGTAACTTATTTTATATTTGTCATGATGATTTTCAAAAAGCTCAACTTGTGTTTTACCATAATTAAGTGACATTTTCTAACCTGCGATCACTTGTAAATTTGAATATTTAGTGTCTCATTATAAGAACTACAAGGGTTAAAATACTTGGGATAATGTATCAAGGATGTATGCATACTAAGAGAAAGTTTATGATGCAATAACAGCGATATGAAGGAAATGTCTGGTATGGTGGTGAGCTAAAAATCTGGGAAAGCACAGCTTGCCAAAAATTTGCAGTTATTGACTTTGTTTCAGTATACATTTTAAGATATCATTTTCATTTCAATCTTCTTTACACATTTATGAGGAAAAAAACTTTATATCATATCCAAAGTCCATTATATTATTTTGGAAATCAAACCGGTCTGCATTCATAGGTTGAAGGGAAATGTTCCATAAAGTGCATTATACACTTGGAAATTTCTTTGTTTAAGATTCAAATATGCATGGAAACTACAAATTGGTATCAATAAGCAGATATGATTTGTTCATATGCGGTTTAGAAATACATCTTGATGAAAATATTTGCTATTTTATGAAAATGTACAACTTTCAATATAATTATACTCATTTAATTGCTTATCTATTTCATTGATTTTCTTATCAATTTATTGATATATTTGCTAATTATCTTGTTCAGGCCTAAAACATTTGTTTCTTTACATCAATATCTATGTGACGGAACAATAAAATATACAAGACCTGAAAAAGTCATGTATAAGAAACCAATGTTGATCTGAAGTAATTGGTTAAAGGGGGGTAACTCATGAAAAGCCGATAAAGTGGTTTTTGTCTACAAACAATGTTCCTGTGTGCTGATAAAGGTCTACACATCCTTGACATTCACGTACGAAACACAAACAACTTACAACATCGTCGGTCAGCTAAACAGATAACGTTATTGGTTTCAAATGGAGAAATATTGCACAATTCAATTGTAAGCTTAGCCTAATTTAACCTCGTACACCATTTGAAATCTGTTGACAAATAGTGGATTACTTTGCTGAACACCATTTGATGTGCTGAAAGTGAACATTTTCATTCATCCAATGCCATTCTTTTTAAATATGGATGTAATAGTCTATCTTATCCTGGAGTGGTAATTGCTCTTTAATGGGAATAACTGTAAAGTTCATTTACAATTTTTTTATACACAGTACAAATATCAAATCCAAATCTATAAATTTAAAATGTAAAGTTCTGACCAAGACATATTAAACATAATTAATGTAGACCTCTTTTTGTAAGAGGATATAAAAACAAAAACCATTCTATAATTCTCCTTTCTGTTTATTCCAGGATAATCTTAACTAAAACCATCTTTGAAGTTGTGCCAGCAGTATTGCTACTTTAAGTTGACTGCAGAACAGTGCTGTAAGTATCTCTAGTTATTATCTATGTTATTATATACAGTTTAGCTGTTACTTTTTAAACATAGGAAAATTGACGACCTCTTTTTGTAAGATTTGATTTTTATAAAGTTCAAACATTATTTAATTCAGTAATTAAATCATAAAATATAACCATGAATTGGTAATTGACATAAAGCTTAGAGCTTTTATTAATCTATTCATTTGTTGTAAAATGTATGGTTGAATAGTACAATTAAAAAGAAATGTTTTATTTTGCAGATCCAGACCTGATTCAGTGAAAGTAAGTACTAAACAGAGTAAAATTTGACTTTTGTGAAACACTTCATACATAGGTGTTTAATATCATTTCCTATACAGATAATTCTTAACACTTGTACTAGTGCAACAAGCACTGAAAAATGAGTAGTGTGAGAAAGCATTGAGAATGTTATAATGAACACTTGAATTTTCTTGGCCCAGTCATTGAATGTGAAAGTTTGTGATATTCTTGAAAGCCTGTGATATCTATGAAAACATACTGAACTTGTGAACATTATGAAAATTTGAACTTTAGAACACATAACCCAAAGGGTTTTTTTACTGATGATATGAGAATTCTTAAAGAACTTGAGAACTTGCAATGCACATGAGAAATTTATGAGAACCTGTTATGAACATGAGAACTTTGAACATAACTGAGAACTTGACAATGCACAATGAGGAAAAGTTGTGAAAACACAAGAACTTGCTGCAATGCACATGGGTAATGAATGCGATGAACATGAGAACTTTCAATGGAAATTTGTTGTTGAACATAATCCAACGTACATGAAGTTTTTTAAAGCCTTTATTGACATGAAAACCTGTGATTAACATGAACATGAGAAAATGCACAAACAAGAATGAGGATGATAATTTGTGATGAAACTGAAACCTTAATGTATAAATATCAGGAATTCGTAAACCATATTTAGAACTCTTGTTAACTTAAGCACAAGGATTTAGAACCTTGAGACTGACTTTAACACAATGTAAAAATGACAATGGGGTAAAAATTGGACATCTGTTAAGAAAGAAATTATGAACAGGAGAATGGGTGTAAAATTACCTGTAGGATGGTGAAATCCAAAGCAACTGAGCATACAGATAGATGAAAATTGGGTATAATGGATTGAAATTTGAAATTTTGAAGACAATATACATGCAAAATCACAAATAGAACATAAGCTTATGGAAGTCAGCTGCTTATGACTTGCTATATCCTAAACTTCTGATACGAGATATGTTTACACATGTTTTGTGTAATAAGTCAGAACTACTCTGTAATTTGGGACTAAAATAAGAAGAATTTGTGTTCTAATTGATTTAGCTTGAAGCAACTTAATTAAGTACTTGTAAGTTGAGTTATAATGGGAAAGTACTGGAAATATTCATATCTGTAACAGTGGTCAGGGATTTTTGGTTGAATAGAGGTGAATGATTATGCTGGAGAAATATGGCATCACATCAGTTAACATATAGTAGTAGGCCAAGTTCTGTAACTAGGGCTGATTATTGTCAAGGTGCAGATAAATTTGATGCTTCTTCACGTGGGAAACAGTGTATGACAAATTGTTTAATGTTCATACTATATACACAAAAAAAACAGGTACAACATTTTAGTCGAATTGATCTGAATGTTATTCTGGATTCAGGAGATGTCCTATACAAAAGCCTTGGTACAAAGCAATTGCTTCTTGTCGGTGAATTGCCGAAATGTGTGAATCTTGATGGCAAGTTTTTCACTGCAACCCCCAAAAAGACCTATGTCGGTAGTATGCAGCTTGGGTTCAAGTCACCTGTAGGATTGTCACTTGAAAATGCATTGAATGCTGTATTTACTTCATATCTTGCAACTAAACATGCTCTTGTGGTCTTTCATGCATCTGCTATTGTTGTTTTGCCACAGAATGGAGTATACTATGTATTTGATTCTCATAGTAGATGTACTGATGCTTTGTGTAACCCATAAGGATGTTGTGTTCTGTCTGTTCTGCCAACCTTTTCAACCCTGTGTGGATTTATGAGGGCACTCTGTTGTTCCTTGTCAAGTATTCCATTGGAGCAAGTACAGTTTGAGATTCATTCTTTGAAAGTCTCTTGTTCAAACACAAGCCTAAAAAACAAAACATGTATCACTACTGTTAAAAATTACTCTGAAATTATTAATAAGGATAATAAAAAATGTGTGGCACCTGTTTTGAAATGTTCACAAATTAAGCTGGACCCCCATTTCCTCGCAGAGACAGCCCCTGTGTTTGTAGGACAGGTTATGAAAACTAGAAATACATATCTATTTCCTGAAAGCAGAAAGATTTCCACATCAAGTGAAGTTGTCAAACCAAAAAAAAGTGA